GGGGAAGCATGGGTCCTAGGAACACCTGTCTTGGGGAACTGCAACGGGTGCAGGGGGCAATGGAAAAATATGGATTCTCTGAGAAAGAGAGACAGCGAGAGAGAGAGAGAGAGAGAGAGAGAGAGAGAGAGAGAGAGCGCCAAAGAGACAGAGACCAGCCATTGCCTAGCCTCCCTCTGCCTCCCAGCTGGGGTGGGCCACGTCTGAGCCTGGGCCTCCAGCCTCTGAGTGCAGCCTTCTGCTGTCTTGGGAATGGGACTGCAGGGGCCTCTGAGACTCAGCTGCCAGAGTCCTGGGATGGAGTGGGTGATCTGGGCCCCAGGATCTCTAGGGGAACCCAGTGCCTGGAGCAGAAATCATGCTACTCTTTGACCTGGGCTTTGGCTTCTCTTTTATTGCTGTGGGCCCTTTGGGGAGGGTCTGCAGGCAGGGAGGGTCACAGCCAAAGGGGGGGCTGTAACCTGGAAGCCCACCAGGACTCCCCTGCCCTGGATATGTACCCCTCTGATTATACTTGCAGGGATGGCTGCAGGGAGGTGGGTCTGGGGGTATGCATGGCATCTGTGCCTACTACCCAGCCCTGGAGAAGGCATTCAGGGCTTCCCCAAGTGGCCCTCTGAGCATGGCATCCTTGGTGATGTAGAAGGGGTTAATGGCAGGTAAACTCTTGGAGCTGAAGAGGTGGCGTTTGAACGCACTTCCTGGTGGCTGCACAGGAGGAAGGAGCTGGCTCAGCAGCACTGGGGGAGGGCCATGTCCTGCCATGAGCCCCCAGCTGCTGCCCTTCCTTGGTCTTGGCATGGTGTCCTTGGGGCCTGTTCTGAGAGAACCCAGAACCACAGGCTGGCCCCATGCAGGCAGCCAGGCAGGTGCTGGGAGCATAGCTGCTAATTACTGCTAAGTACATGCTACCTAGCCTACGGCTTCAGCACTGTACCCCTGCCAGCCAGGGCGTGCCCGGGCCCACTCTCCAGGCATAGGCTGCACTGCCTCATCCACGCCAGCTGTGGCCCAAATCCCAGTCTCCTCACTTTGTCATCCTGATGGCTCACACCTTCCCGGGACTGCTGTCCACTCTCCTGAGTCCAGAGTCAGAGTGCAGTCCTGGAAGTGCTGGCCGCTCAGACACACGGAGGAAGAGAGGTCATCTTTCACACTCCCCACCACACTGTAAGCGGCTCTTCCATCACCACAAGGACATTTGGTAAAAATGTCTTACCCAGCACAGCAGACACTCCTAGTAACAGCTTGGGTGAGCTGTGTTTTGATGGCTCTTTCCTTCCATCTCTGTGTAATGGAATAATTGACAATAAGATAACATTGTCGGATGCACCCCATTACACCAGAAATGCACTTGGAGAAATTAAAACATTTTGCTAAAATACAAAATAGACAATAATAATTTATAGCTTGGAGTTGCAGTCCTACAGAAAAGTATGCTTTCTTTTCTGTTAGAATTGACAAAGCAAATAAAATGATAATTAAACAGTTCCTATAATTTCATCCTCTCATCCCATATAGCTAGGATGAAGAAAAATAGTTAGCATCCTTGTGTGTAAATTGTTTTTGCTATCAGTAAGAATTTTTTATTACCCCCAATGAATGTTCCTGGGTTATGGAGCAGGTATATTTGCATTGTATTAATTAGGGAAACTGGTATCATACTGGATTCAGTTGTCCTACCTCCTAAATCTGTGTGTTTCTCTGCAGTATGTAAGATGTTCACTTCCTGGTGATGCTAAGAGAAAACCAGATTATTTCCTGGCCTGGTTTCTCTGAGGGGAATTCTGCTGCTCTCGGCCCAGCGAAAGTCCTTCCTTCTTTGCTGTCTGCAAGGTTCAGATTTAAGGAGATGAGCTCCACCCTCTGGCTGGAGAAAGACCTGCAGTCCACCAATTAGGCTGGTTGCTATGGTGACACAAACTTGTCATTTTCTCCTATCCGGGAAGAATTGCCAGGAAAAGCAAAAAGGGAAGGGGCCCCGCATGGCTTCCTTTAAAGTGCATGCTCTGTGGTGCGTGTCCAGCACGCTGACCATAGGCTCCGCTTCTCTGGCAGACGATGCCGCCAGCAGGCTGGACTCTGGTAATGAGTGGACTTGGGAGGCAGTGAGTGCACTGTGAGAGAAAGTTACTCGGCTTCGTTCTGGGCTGGGGAACTCCTCAGGCCATGCTGTGGAGGAGCCGACGCGGATAAATTTCCTCCAGCAGCTCAGGAGCTGAGCGGTCTGCCGGCCCAGACTCAGCTCTTGAGTGCAAAAGGACCTCTCTGTGCCAGGCACAGCCAGGGTGGGAGTGGCTGCCTGCTGCGCTGGCCCCTGAAGATGTGATCTCTCCTAGCTGGCTTGCGGGATGCTGGACATAATAGCAGCCTGAACCACGGAGAAGATGGTCCGCTGGTGCCATTTCTGACACCGAGCCTCAGCTCTGACACTTGCATGGAGTATTTAATACTAAAGTGGAGAGCTCTGCGTGGTTCCTACTGGTGGGCAGTGCTCCTGGCGGGTCAACAGTGGGGGACAGTCCCGTTTCAAAGTACCAGGAAGCCCTGTGCAGGACAGGCAACTGGGGTGTTTGATGGACATTTTTTTCAAATAAGTCCCTTCAAAATTGAATTGTGCCTTTCAGTTAAATCTCATGTCCTCAGCTGCAACTATGAGAAGAAATTATAAACAACTTTGGAATTGTTTTTAATCCATTAGAATACTAACCAAGCATAGACACTCTGATGTAGCATTTCTTTTATAAATACAATTTATGGCATATTTAGGAGAGATTAGAATATGCTATATCCCTGCTGCTCAATTTTTATTTCCGGAGTTCTTGAAGAGGTAAAATTGAAAATACAGAGGCTTAATGAAGTGATGCCGTCTAGAATTTTTTTCTGGTTGTTTTTTTTTTTTTAATTTCCTACTGTGTTTTCATTTGGTGAATTTCTGGCACAAGAGGTGTTGTTTGTTTCTTTCAAGGACACGAAGGTAGGTTCCCTCTCCTTGTGGGATCTTTACTAGCTGAGCTGGGTGCCCAACGACCTTGGACCTCGAGGGGCTTTGTCTCCTTGGAGAGTTTCCTAAAGGAAGGGACTTCTGGAAAAGGACCCCTCTCCTGGCTACAGAAACCTTCCCTGACCTAGGCCAGGGAACAGGAGAACCCAGAAAAGGGCCTCACCCTGGTGGGACTGGTCAGCAAGACTCCACACTTTGGACCTGCCACTCTATATCCGAGGCATAAAATATGCAGATCAACTTTTGTGGCAAGAAGTATTTTCAGGTGACTTTTATGGGCATAATTATGGGAAAATGTTATGATAATGTGGCACTAGAAAAGGGAAGAAAAGCAAAACATTAAAATCCCTGTTTCTTTATATAGCATCGCAGCTGCGCTGATTTAGAAGAACTCATTTTTGCATTAAGACTTGATGCTCTGGAGTTAACGACCTCTAGAGATAGCCACCTGTCACCCAGAGCACTGTTGGTGATGGCCCTGCCCTAGTGATGAGGGGAGGAGTGGACGGGGAGTCCTGGAAGGGACTTTGATTTGGCCAGCTCCAGGAGCAGGCGAATGGCTTCCTGGGGTTCACATATGGGGAGTGTGGTGTGTTGGCTGCCAGATCAGGAGCCTGAGGGTGCAGGGTGCCAGGGCCTGTGGGGTCTGGTGGCATCCCTTCCTGAATGCTGCCCTGCAGGCTTTTCTGGAGCCTTCTCCATCAACCAGGACCCGGAGCTGCCAGTTTCCTGTGGTTTCTGGGAAGGCCCTGTTGATACCCAGAGGCCTGAAAGGCCCCCAGGAATCCCCTGAATGCTCCTCCTTCTGCCCAGACTTCTCTGCCAGGCGTGTGTGCTAACCCAGCCCTGGAAGCTGCCAGAGCTGTCCGGATGCTGGGCTTCCCACAAGCATCTGGGAAGCTGGCCGGCAGTGGTCTAGGCGCCTGCCCTCATTCCTCCTTCATCCAGAGAATTTGGGGGGTTGCTTCTGGGGGCCCCAGAATGTTTGCTTATTGAGTGAGAGTGCTGGGTGGAAACAGGTGTGGCATGGCTTCCATCTCTGGCCAGGCGAGAGGGGCTGCTCTGGGATCCTGATCTCCAACTCTGTGTGCTGCTCGAGCAGCGGGACTGGGCTTGGTGGACAGTGTCCTGGGAGAGGCCTCCCGTTGTCCCTCCCAGGGACCTGGCTGTCTCTGGGGCTGTCCTTCCCCAGCAGTGGCTTGGCTGCAGGCCCCAGTGTCAGGCGATGTGGCAGTTGGGTTGGTTGGGAGCTCCAAAGGTACCAGGCCCTAGGGCAGAGAAGTGGGCACAACAGCTGCTGCCATGGAACTTGTGTCTCAGGGTCCCAGCGGGGTGGTGACCATTGGCACAGAGCAGAGACAAGCTGCTGGGCCGAGCACCGTGGCCAGCACTGGGTGGTCATGGGTCCCTGTGCCTGATTTCCAGCTGCCACCCTGGCCCCCATAGAGACCTCCCCGCTTGGCCCTGAATCTCACCTCTGTCTGGAGCTGCCTGCACACTCCACAGCTCTGTCCCTGTGTCCCAGGCCTGTTAGCCCTTCTCCAGAGGACATCTTGCTGGTCCTCCCTGTCTGGGCTGCTGTCACCTGGGCCCCAGCACCTGCTTTCTGTGATGGGTGTGGCATGGTTGTCCTTTGTCCTTCTCCAGGGTGGTCACCTGACCCTCCCATGGCTTCCCTTAGTATGACGGCTCTGCCCTCCCCCAGGTTCCCTGTGTCACCTCGCTGAGAGCCACCTGAGCTGAGCTCCTTCCTGCTGGGATGTGAAGCTCTGTCCTTCTGTCCTGGCTCAGGGCAGCCCATGTAGGATGGAGTCCAACACTCACCAGACAGCTGCTCCCGGGGAGTGGCCTCTGTGATGGCTTCTGGAAGCTTCTCCCCAATGTCCCAGCCTGCCTTCCTCACAGGTGTGATCCCACTGTCTGGGACAGTGAGGCTCACCTGCGACACACGCTGGATGCAGGCATAGTGAGCTGGACTGGTCTCCTGGTCTCCAGGAAATGCCCCTGCCCTTCCTGCAGAACCCCAAGGCCCTGTACCGCTCTCCTGAATACACTACCTTGCTCCTCGTGCTCTGTCCCTGCTTTTTCTGATGGCCTCTGTCACGTTACTCTCTGCCTTCTTCATCTTAGGCTTTGAGCGAGGGGCCTGGCTCACTGCCTGCAGGGAGTCCACTGCTGACCTCTGGACAGACACCTCCTGACCGTCGTGCTCTGTGGGCCATGGGCTGCATGCCACGTTGGCCACCCTGAACCTCCCTGACCTCAGCGGACTGGAACAGATCTATGTAGATCCCAGCCCCACAGGCTCAGAGTTGTACGGTGGCCAGGGATGCCAGGCCAGGCGTGGGGGGCAGGAGAGGGCCTGCTCTCCTCTGCTACCCCACGGCACCCTAAGTCAGGTGGGCACAGGGGCCTGCTCCATACCTGGTGGGGCTGGAAGTGCCCGGACACCTGCTGTCTTTTGGGCGACTGTGGGCCAGATGTGCAGGTGGGCTGCAGGGCTCAGAAGGGCAGGTGGGGGCCATCCCTGGTGTCATGCAACTGTCACAATGAAGGAAGCGCCATTTGAGTGCAGGCCCAGGGCGTCTTAGTGCCTGGTCTGTGTCCTGTGAATGAATAAATTATCAGTGTGGGGAAGGTGTGAGGTCACCCAGCACAGGACCTGGGAGGGCCTGGCCCTCTCAGATGGCCACATCCTCATGGGAGCTCTGCCCTGGGGGGTCCTGAGGCCCTGGCCTCCTCCCTGCACTGGGTCAGCCACTGAGGTGTGCGGGGATGTGCAGGGGGTGAGGGCAGGTGCCTGCTGGCCACAGCGGTCCTGTCCCGCAGACTCTCTCTAGGGGAACACTGCAGCTGCCCCATTGCTGGTTCCGTTAGTCCACCCCCACCCACTGATAGAAAATTCTAGAAGGGACGTTTCCATCTCAGTGCAGCCGGTAAGCTGGAGAAAAGTGGAGCGCACAGGGGTGTAGAGAGCCAGGCCGGCAGCCAGGCCTCGGGCTGGGATGGGGCTTTGGGCGTGGCTGGGGTGTGGCTGGGGGAGGAGAGAAAAGGATGGGTCTTGGTGGTTGGTGCTGTCCTTTAGGGGCGTGGCCAGGGGTGTGGCTGGAGGAGGGGTGAAGGGGTGGGACTTCAGGGCTGGGGCAGGTCTGCAGGCTGTGCCTCTGGAAAGTTTCTGCAGGAGAGTCTCTGGTTCTGACCTCATTATGAATAAATAAGCCAAGTGTGGGACCCCTGTGAAATCCCGGTTGCTGTGTAAGGCGCCCCTGGTGGGCTTTTCAGGTTGCCGGTGAGGAAAGCTCCCAGGAGCCCACCCTGGGCTCCCTAGTGAGACGCTGTCTTCCCTGTAGACCCTTCCAGATTCCCTCTGGTTCCTTTCTCACTTGGAGTCATGGCATTTGGTTCACTCTTGGAGCGCGGGGTGGGGGTGGGGGGTGGGGGTGTCTGAACAGCCTCTGGGGACACCCACTCCTACCATTGCTCCTCTTTGGCCATGAGGACCAGAGTTTCCCCCAGACCTAGCAACTGGGGCCCTGAGGCAGAGTGTGCTGCGTGGGTGCCCTGACTGTGGGTCGCCCGTGGACCTGCTGCCGCTGCTTTCTGGCTTTGGGATCCAGATTCCATCCTGGGCTCCGCCTGGTAGGTGGGCAGTGCTAGACCCCTTCTGGCTTTTCCCACTTGTGTGGCTAGGGGCCACGCAGGGTCCCTGGACACTCTGCTGCTGACACTGTCCCCGCAGGCATCGGGGACCTGGGGTGGCTTCTCCTGCGCCGAAGGCACAGCGCCGTCTGTGCCGTTGGAGAGACTTTCAGCGGAGGGAATGCCGACTCCGGGTTGGAAATAGCGCAGGGTCCAGTGCTGCAGTCTCTTCTGTATCTTCATTTCCCGTGTCCACTTGAAGTGCTGCGTGAGGTGCTGTCGACAGTGATGAAGCCATTTAGAAGCAATCAAACACTCCTGGTCCAATGGAGTCCATCAGCCCTTCTCTCCCTCTAGCCACTTGCTTAACTACGCTCACCTCTCCAGGAAGCACCGGAGTCCTCAGCATGATTTCTGGGGAGTCTGGAGCCCTGGGAAGAAATTCCAAAGGCGCCTTCCTGTCCAGAAGGTTCTGCCTGTGCTTCTGCTGCTGCTACCTCAACACCCTGGTGGAGCACAGCGGACCTTTTCTCTTCAGTAGCCCCTCTCCCTGCCCTTGTCCCTGCTCTGGCTGAGGGCAGACCTTCGCAGGGTCCCCAGCAGGGTAAGGGGTCAGAACCACCCAGCCCCTGTGCATCCCTGCCTGATGGGCTCCTCCACCACCTTGTGGCTGAGTTGAGTTTCTTTGTTTCATCTTTCCCGGGGACCACAGCTTCCTGTGGTTTCATGCCCTAGGTAGGGTGGCCACCCTGATGGCCAGCACCACTGTTTGTGTTGCAGCCCACGACTCAGCTAGAACTGCTCCCCAAGCCCCTCGCGGTGACCCCCAGCCCTGTCTGCGGTGGGGAGCTGAGGTGGCCAGCACTGCTGACACATGGACACATGTGCACAGGTCCTCCTGTAGCGCAGCCAGCCTGCTGGGACTGCACCCCCAGACTTGCTATTCCCCTCTCCCAGGTCAGCATCTGTGGAAGCCTCGAGTTGGCAAGGGGAGGGGGAGGTTGAGCCTAGATCATCCCTAAGGGTTTGCTGCAAGATCTGTTCTTACCCTGTGAACCAGAAGCACAGGTTGGCTCATCCTTTTCACTGGCTAGCAGACGCAGGAAATGACAGGCCGTCGAGAAGGTGGCCTAGAGACAGACCTGGGCTTCTGACTCCCTGCATGGTGGCTCCCCTTGGTCACCGTGGTGTGCAGTGAGCTCCTGTGGACTCAGCGGTCATTACTGAAGCTGGGTGCAGAACATGGCAGGCCCAGAGGCTGGCTTTGTCCCTGTCTGTCCTGGCTGGGCTGGACAGTGCTCCCTACCCTCCTGCCATGGTGACTAGCAGTGGTGACTGCAGACTGACTCATGGAGCTCAAGCTCCTGGGGACACTTGGGAGCTGAGATCCACCTCCCTGTGACCAATCTCTTTGCGATGGTGCCCTGTGTCCCAGAACCCCACCTGTCATGTGCAGACAGGACTGGGGGTCGCGGGGAGGGCCCTGTGCAGCTGTTCTGGCTGAGTTGTGGCTGGTGCTGGGCATTTGCAAGTCACCTGGACAGTGCCAGGGGGAAGAGAGGGGTGTGTGCGGAGGGGTGCTCAGGGTCAGGTCAGGGTCATAGCCCAGAAGGTCGGCCTCATTGTCACTTGGTGCAAAAGGCCCTTTCCTTGGGTGGCACTGCTAATTTGACCCTGTCACCTCTACTTGGGTTTCCCTTATCCTCGGCCCGGCCAGTTGGGTGTCCTGGGGCATCTGACCCTGCCCTTGCATACCTCGCCTGTGCCCAGGCTGGGCTGCCTGCCCCACTGGGTCGAGCCCTCTCCTCTGCCCTGCTGTAGCTGGTCTCCGCTCCTGTTCTGAACCATGCAGCTCTGGGCTAGATGCATGGATTGGCCTGTAGGAGGCCTGCTCTGCCAGGCACAGTGAGCTGGAGCTACCCTGAACAGTCCTGAGTCCTACCCAGGGTCCGGTTTCTGGGGCGTTTGTTCTTCTGAACTTGACACGGACCCCACTGGTGCTCACTGGAGGTCTGGCCACCTCTGCATTCCTCTTAGGGAGACTCCAGACCCTCTTGGGCCAGACTTACTTTGGGGGCGCCCAGGGTCCCTGGGAGTGGTGGGGAGAGGGGGACCAAGGCGGGAAGGGCTGAGAGGGCTGATCAGTGTGGATGACACTGTGCTGCCCCAGTGATTGTTGGAGATGCAGGAGGTGCTAGGCAGCAGGCTCCTCTCTTAGCTGGGCTGCTGGGCATGGGCTGGGGTGCACCAGGGGAGGAAGGGAGCACCTAGCAGAGGGGCCTTCACTTCCTACCACGTGCCTCAAAGGCCCTGGAAGGTCTGACAAGGTGTGCAATAGAAGTGACAGCTAGGGAAGGAGCTCATAAGGCCGTAAGTGTGTTCCGGGGGCAATGAGTATGACTGCTCTTGAACCAGTTCCCCTGTCTGTGCCCCCGTTACCCTGGCTGGAGCACCCCAGGTCCCTGCTCTGCCCCCAGCAGGCTGGCACTTGTCCCCCAGTTCTTTCTTGAGAGCACAGGTAGGACAGGAGCTCCAGATGTGGAGCACAGGGCTACTTTTTGGGACATCCTCTTAACTCCACCTGGCCTGCCTGCCTGGTCTTTGGGTTTTGAGTGCCGAGTGGGAAAGGCTGGTTCATTGATGGCCTTGGTCATCGCTGGTGGCTGGTGCCCCGTGGCAGAGCAGTGTCCCCACTGTTAGGAGGTCCACAGTAGCCCTTACCACTGATGTGTGCACTTACGTGTTTTTAAACTCCGTGGCTAATGAGAGGATAGGAGAGGTTCCTGGCCTCAGGGCCTGAGCACAAACCCGACAAGCTCACTGTCTCGTCTTCCAGGGTGCTGGGACTGAGTGGGAGAGGAGCTCGTCTGCTGTCTCTCCAATATCTGCCGTGTACTTGATTTTATTAAATGTTGAGGTGAGTTGGTTTCGCGTGTGCCCGTAGCCGGAAGCCTCTGCATTTCGTTTTGGGGGGAGAGCTGAGAATTCTCTGGAGGCCTTTCATGTTCTGATCTTTTAGCAGTTAAAATGTTAATGAATCGGAGGTCGCCTTAAATGCTGAGCTGCCTCCCACGAGTGGCCTCTCTCTCTAAGACACTTTCACTGGGCTGTTTCTAAATTAGCTCTCTCCCACAGCATCGGTTACCTGATAGCACTTCCCTGAAAGCAGCCAAACATGTTAAAGGACTGTAGGGCTCTGTTCATGTTCAGGAATCAGTGCTAATTCACGCTTCTGGGCCTGATTGCAGGGCCTGAAGGGTGCAGGCCACGGAGCCATGTGGAGTCTTCCTTGTCTCTTTCTTCAGGACACTGTGGTCTTTGTATGTATGATGCTCCCACTCCAGTGCTCTGGGCCAGCACTGTCCCTGGCAAGACCTGTGTACCTCGGAAGGCTTCCTGGAGGAGGAGAAGGCATGGGGCCCCTTTGTTGCCTGAGTCTGGGGGCTCCGAGTCCCCTTGAAGTTGGTGCCGGTTCGGTTCCTTTGAGTCCCCATCTGGTCCCCCTCGCCCCTCATGCCCCCTTCCTGTGCGACCTTGGGTTTCCCGGAGAGCTAAATGTGAGCACACTGCATGTGTGCAGGCCCCCACGTCACTGACTGCATACCTCTCATCTTCATTAGTGCAGTGTGAGTTTCAGGGGGCCGGAGGTTGCAGGAAAGTGAGAGGACCCTTTCTTGATGTCTCACGGCGGTGAGGAGGCCAGCTGATTGCTTTTATATTACAATCCCCAAGCGTTGTCGGACTGGTTAATAAATTCACTGAAAATCCGCTACCTCTTAATAAATTTAACTGCGGGAGTTGGGGATAACTTTGCCGTGATCTTTGAGTATTGGCTCTGTCTGGGTGTCAGCATCGGGTCAGCAGGGCCATGAAGTGGCCGCTTGCTCTGAGGAACTGCATAAGTCCAGGGAGCTTCTTCTTAGCAGTGTGGAATGTCCCTTTATGCCCTCCTTAGATGCTGGGCAGGAGAACTCCCAGGCCAGACCTCCACTCTGTCAGCAGGTGACACATTCCATTGAGGGTCACCAGCTCTATCTATAGACAACCACTGAGAACTACTATAAACTCTAGCTCTGAGCTTCCTGGTAGACAAGGCAAAAAGGGGAAACCCACTGGATGTGTGGCTCTCGAGGCCTATGAATGACACCGAGCATCTTGAAATGCTGAAGCCACCCCAGGGGCTGTTGCTCTGTGCTGACCTGGTGGCAGCACTTGAACAAATCCATATCGGGCTCCACTGTCATTTCCTCTTAATGGGGAAACCGCAGGGACCCAATGTTGGACGTGTCACAGTCCTACCAGCCGGGCCGGCTGCAGCGAGAAATCTTCTGTGGCCAAAGCAGAGGCCGAGCCAGCTGGTG